GGTATTTGAACAGTCAGTGGTATAGGAGATAAAGCTTATACAGCATAGATTCTCAGTAGACTTTGTATTATTATTTATAAAATAGCTTACGAAATGTATCGGTTTTAGCTGTTCTAACAAAGGAGTTTTACAGTAAAACCCCACATCTGAACAATCAGTTGTATGAAGACAATAAATAGGTTATAGTGACCCGATCTTTCTTCATTTCACTGTAAACTTTCTGTTGATAATGAGTAAAAATAGTGCGAAATTTGTATGTTTCTAGCGGCATAAATGGGGAAGTTATAACAAAAAATCTCATATCCGGACAATCAGTTGTATGGAGGCTATAGGTTGTAGCGACACGATTTTCGCCATTTTCACTGTAAGTATTCTTTTGATAATGTGTGAAAATATTGCGAAATTTCATGTTCCCGGCTGCATAAATGGAGGAGTCATAACAAAAGATCGCATATCTGAATAATCAGTTGTATGGGAGCTATATGTAATAGTGACCCGATCTTTGTAATTTTAACTGTAAGTATTCTGTTAATAATGGGTGAAAATAGATTTATAACGAAAAATCTCATATCTGAACTATCAGTTGTATGAGAGATGTATATTTTAGTAACCCGATCTTTGTTATTTTCACTGTAAGTATTATGTTAATAATGAGTGAAAACTGTGCAAAATTACATTCCCTAGCTGCATAAATTGAGAAGTTATAACAAGCAAATAAAGAAGTATAAGTTCGGGCGAAACCGAACCCTACATGTATACCCGGCGCAGACATCAATTATCATCGTTTCAACTTTATCTGAATCACCTTTGCATGATAAGTAGGGATCTTTACCCGATTTCAAACGTTTTCGATAATATGCAGAGTTAGACTTAATAATATAATTGAACCTAGTTAGGTACAAATCGATTTAGTGGTTACCGAGGTACACCTTGGTAGTTATAAAGTGGGCGGTGCCACGCCAAATTCCTGAAAATCTACACTGAGGGAAAAAAATATTAAAATCAAGTAGAAACGTAATTGATCTTACTATAAACATCAACGAAAGTACTGTGTATTGGTAAATATTCAATTCAATTACGCGCATATTAAAATGACCGCGTTCGTACTAAAACTAAAACTAAAAAAAAAATTAATTTGCATGCTGCCTGCAGTGGAATTCGAACCCGACCATCTCCGGATATCAACAACTTGTGGCAAGCATCTTTGCGCACTCAGCTACATCCAGACATATAAATTTGCGTTCAAATGTTGAATACGCGATTTGTACTATGTATGTATGTTTGTGTTGTCACGGCTCTCAGAGCGGCGCTCTGCATGCTTGGGGTGCGTATGTACTAGAGGTTTACGCCGACAGGCTTTGCGGCGGCGGCGTGGTCAACTTCAAAAATAATCGGCGGCGGCGGCGACGCCGGCGCGTCTGTAAAGGCCGGCGCTACTGCCCAAAAGAGCCATGAGGCTACTAATCTTATCATGTCATCTCGTTAGCGTTAGGCATTCCTTATTAAATTAGTTTTAAATTTAAATATTGTTACTTCCTACTTGAATTAAAATTTTGAGTGCCTGGCGCTGATGGATAGGCGAACCGAAGAGGGTCTAACGCAAAGAAAGTTACTTGTGCAAATTGGGGTAACAACATCTCAAGTGACAGTTAATGCATGGTCGGGCATACCACAGGTCACGCATTGTGGACCACTGTTGTTTATTCTAAACTGTTGTTTATTCTATAAACGACTTGCCTAACTATTTTAATTTTGCAAACTGCCTGATGTTTGCAGATGATGTTGAACTTTTTTCAGTTGTGCGTGATCTCTCAGATTGTAATCGTCTTTAGCTCGATCTAGATGAATTTCAGCAGTGGTGTACATTAAACTGTTTGAACCTAAATATAGGTAGATGTTGCGTAGTTACGTTCTCGAGGCAGTCTAGTAGTGATATACCTTTTGACTATAAATTAGATGGTTGCGTTATAAAGCGGAGCACTGAAATAAAAGATTTGGGCATTATTTTTGACTCCAAACTCGCGTTTACAAAACACGTTGACTATATTGTATCTAAATCGTTCTCAATGATAGGCTTTATTAGGCGAAATACTCAAGAGTTCAGAGATCCAGTAACTTTAAAATCCTTTAATAAGAAGCCGTCTGGAATACTGTTCTATAATATGGAGTCCATATTATGAAGTGGACTCGATCAAAATAGAAAGAGTTCACAAGTTTTTCACCATATTCGCTATTTGCAAGTTGCCCTGGCAAGGTTATGTTCCTCCCTATATTGGCAGACAGAAATTGCTGGGTCTCCAGTCTTTGAAGGAAAGAAGAGATTACTTCTTCATTACATTTATTTCTAAAATAATCAATGGGCACACAAATTGGGCTTATTTAACAGATTTGCTCATATTATATAATCCCCCGCGTAATTTAAGAAACAAAAGGCTATTGGTTGATGCTCTGCATACCACGAATTATGCCAAAAATGAACCAATTGCTAGATCATTGAATTGTGCAATACATATTCTAGTGTTATCGATTTTAACTTAAGTATTGATAGATTTAAGAATAATTTGTTTACAATATTCACCTAGAGTCTTCACTAGTCTGTAAGAAACTAGTTCTGTAGACTGAATTTAAAAAATAAATAAAGAAATATACTACATACATACATGGTTCTCTATGTTCTCTATAGATCCGTATGTACTATTTAAATTTAAAGAAATAAAAAAAAATTAAAGCTAAGTTATTGGAGTAATTTATTTCGCTATTAATAAATTTCTGAAATAACGTTATCTACCGTTATGTTAAATTAAGGGGTTCTTACGATTTTTTGCGGGTTATAGATTGAAAACTAGGGTGGTCTACTATTTTCCGGGGGTTTTATACATCAACTCCCAGCAGAACAGGCCTGGTTAAAATTTCCACTAAAATTTTAAGTGCCAAATTTTCCGAGGGTAAACAAAAGTAATGAAAAATACTACTAATTTCCATCAAGAAGGGGGATCTTTAACCCTGTGTAGAAAACATTGCGATGCGATGGAGCAAAACCTTTCTGGGGTTTGCCCACCACTTGTGAATGCTAACATAGTTTTCACACTGCCACATAGAACTTGTATACGTCTGTGGGACCCCGGAATAAAATAACTTACTTATTTAAAATCTGTTTAAAAAATATTCAACTCTTTATTAAAGAAAAAATACACAAGAAGATCAATTTGTTTTTGTTTTATCTCCAATAATCGAGGAGTTAGATGCAATAAGGGCACTTCTGTTAAAACTGCTTTCTGAGATATTATCGTTAAAGTCTTTTGGTGTGTGACAACTTTCTTGTTGTTGTAGTAATCTGTAAAAAAGGAATATTGTTGTGGTATTGAAAAAAATTGTTATATATTCTGTAGTAGTAGTTCCTTCAAGCGATGCGTTTCATGAAAACTTTGTACAAAATTCCTTAGGCGCCGAACGCCGCCGCCGCCGCCGCCGCGCCGATATTTTCGTAACTCGGCGGCGGCGCGTGAGTAATGACAAAAAACGGCGGCGGCGGCGGCGTGGCTCGGCGGCGTATACCTCTAGTATGTACACTTATATATACATACTCAGATGTGAACAGTCAAATACTTGCGTAATAAATTTTGTACGAAAATATTATTTTTAAATACGAACATTTTTAAACGATAATCAAATATAAAGGGTTACTTTTTACTATGCATTATTTCCCTCAGTGTATAGCAGTCTTATTTATTGTTAATAGATTGTTGTAACTATTAACTTGGAGTAAATTAGCGTCATCAGTTATTGAAATATCGGAAAACTCCGATATTCCTGAATCTACCGCTTAAGCATTGTTGTTTTTTTCATTTTTGCTAACAAACAAATCGTGGTACAAAGCTCAATAACACTATTTAAATAAATATGAATACGCCACAATAAAAATTGACAGTGGAATTTTTATTTTTTCTCTCAGACGTCAGGATTTATTTTAAAGGACTTTGTAGTTTGTTTTTGTTATTTAATGGCCTTATAACAATTATATTCAACAATTTTTATTGAGCTTGAGGCCGTTTGTAATTTTAAATATATGAAATAAAAGAGGAAATTTCTTTAGAATAAAAAAAAAATAAAGTTAAACGACCAAATTCGAGGATGTTATCGAGTTTATATAAGTCCTTAACATATCATTTTTTAAAAAACAAATATTGCGAAGTTTCAGGGATACAATTTTAAAAGGACATTTTCAATACTTACCAGTCCTTATGCAACACAAAAATTGAATCCGCTTAAATTCTACAGCATTTTCTCTTTAATTTGGAACCCATACTTCTTCTCTAAGGACATTTCACTGAATTTTGAAATCATTTTTGAATTACTGACGTCAGAGTGAAAAACTAAAAACGCTATTTTACTATATATGAATTTACTATCGCACGGTGTTATATCTATAACGAGCTAGGTCAGAACACCTACAAACGAAAAATCTCATATTTGAACAATCAGTTGTATGGGAGCTATAGGTTATAGTGGTCCGATTCTTCCGGTTCCGACAAATTATTAATACATTATAAAAATACACCCACATACCAAATTTCATCCGGATATCTCGAAAACTGAGAGACTAGATTGCATACAAACAGACGGACAGACGGACATGGCTAAATCGACTCAGCTCGACGTTCTGATCATTTATGTATACAATTTAATGGGTCTATCTCTTCTTATTCTGGTACTTACAAACATCGGACCAAAGTTATAATACCATTTCATGCTAATGAAAGGTATAAAAATATTTTTGGTTATTCATACAAAAAATGTTCATATATTTAAATTCAATTTATTTTCACTTTGTTTGAATATTGTAATGTAAAATTCAAAAAAAATTTAAGCCAAAATCATTCATTCGTTTTGTATATGAATAACTCATAAGCCGTTTTGAATGAATTCATGCAGCCCTCTAGTACATTACAAAATACCATCGCAATGAACATTCTGCATGGAAAACGAGTTTTTGAGAATTTAAAATTTTAGTTGTCTCCGAGATCTCATTGTGCCTAGAATAGAGTATGTTCTTACATAAATGTTAAGTTATAAAATGTGGAAATATTCAATCCTTGCGCCATTGATTTTTATTTGTGCAATAAACGCATTGGCGTTGCAGCAAATTAACATCGGTAAAAAAACATGTTTTTAATTACTGTTTCAAAAATTACAAATTGTTATTACTTGTTACTAGGTGCATTATTCTACGAAAATGAATATGACCTGGAGCGAACTTTTATTGCAACTGTGGATAGTATTAACAATGAGAAGAAAGACAACTTTAAAATGTTGCCACTAATAAGACGCTTAAGTGAAACAGACGGGAGCATGCTACTACAACGCGAAGGTGGGAAAGTTATTTATAATAAAAACCGTAAATATGTACATATTTTTATCTGTCCAGCTTGCAATCTAATCGACAACGGAGTGGTTGCTATTTTCGGACCAAGTTCAAAAGCAGACAGCGGTGAGTGCGAGCTTTGTGTAATGCTTTGTAAAAGTAGAAGAAGTAAAGAAAAATATTTTTATAAGAGAAAAGAAGAAATCACTGGTCAACAGTGATTTTGGTGCAGCATTATTTTGCAATCTAGGACCTTACATATAATATATTACTTAACTAGAAACTAATTTTTTATCCTAAGTATAGTTTTTGGGATATCGGCGTATAACGGTTTCCGATTAGAGAAAAAAGATCGATCATAAAAATTTCTAATATTTGGATAATTCTTTAACCAATCAAAATAAAAAGTAGATCAAATGAAATCGCCACTAGACACGAATAAAGCGCGCTAGTGTTTTGACTGCTTAAGAAAAATTCGGCGAAGAAAGACGCGTAACCTAGTTGACGGCGAAGAAAGACGCGTTAACATTGATTTATACCTGGCCAAGGATTGTCACTTCAGCACCATTCCCTAAAAACTCTTTAGGGAATTTACACACTGTTACACCCGCAAACATAGTTGACCGCCAAAAAAAAAGTTTACTCGTCTTTCTTCGCCGTCAGCTATGTTAAGAGTATTTCTTCGCTGAAGTTTTTTTATGCGTCTGTTTTCGCGGTCAATTTTAGAGCTCGCGCCTTTATTCGTGTCTAGGGACGAAATGTCTTTAAATTTGTATCTTTCAATAATAATTCAATTTTATTTACAATTACACGTTTTCAAGATAAATACAAACAAAAGTGGGAAAATTTCCTATTTACATACACTATAAAAAATATATCGGAAAACGACTTTCGGAAATTTTTCTATATTTATAATCTTAAAGGAACATATTTATGAAAAAATTTAAGACAAATAAATAAATCCACACAAAAAAGTGAAAGTTATTCGCATGAGAATAAAGATACTAATTTTTTAATTGACCATACTTATTGTCTTTCTGGATGTAGTTTTGAAATTAACTTCAGTTTTGTGTATTAGCTGAAGTTAATACATTAGTGTGCACATTTTTTATAAGGTTCGGAGTGCCTATGCAATGAAAATAACAGAATAATCACTTTGATGACTGTTACTTCTGTTTTAATTCTATGACCCATCATCCGATGGGTGAGCAGTGACAGTGATTCCGAAGAAATAACGTCTACAATCCAAAACCTTTTCTCCCAAGAGGAATTAAATGAATCTGCAGAAGTATTGGCTTCTTGATTAAAAGAAAAAACTTGGTTAATGACAGGTACAAAAGTGAGATACTATCGTACAGGGGAGCACTACCTGCTACCATTTTTCCATTCGGAAAATGATATTGTTTTTTGCTGATGTGCAAGGGCCTTATTCTGGAAATGGGTCTTTCGGAATACGAGCCAACCGAATGACGTGTTTTGATAGACAGTTCTAAACGAAGCCTTAAGTGTGTCCTTTTTTAATTATGGATGAGTTGCACATTCAACAAAGATAAAATAAATTTATCAAAATAATTCACATGTGTTGGACAAAATTAAATATAATGAACAACAATGGAGCATTTGTGTTGATCTTAAAATATTTAACTTCCTATTAGGACAGCAAAGTAGATACACCAAATACCCGTGCTTATATTGTCTGTGAGACAGTTGCGCAAAGCACCAACATTGGGAAAAAAGAGATTGGTCCGTATGTGAAGCGACGGTGTTGGGAAAGCAGAATATCGTAAATACATTTGTACAATCGCCCGATTGTAATGAAGGAGCACCTTAATGCCCTCTCTGCACCTTTGCATAACTTTTCGTTATAACAAAAATAAAGTGAAAAAAGGAAAACCACCCCAAAATCAACCATCACCGCGCGCACACGGGAAAACGGCCACCGCAAAGTTCAGTTCAACGAAAAAAACATATACCTATTTCTATTTGCATATGTCCTTATATTTTAATTATCAATAAAAAATAGACTTTTTATAATGTCTTGATCAAAACGCGAGCGTGTTTCACTTGATTTGAAACGCAGTGGAAAGCCTTAGCCATGGGCGCTTCTCCCTTTGCTATAGTCCGTCTTCGCCATAAAGAAGGGCACCTATCAGGGCCGTAGCCAGGATTTTTTTTTTGGTGTTTTGGCAAATTTTTTTTTTAGTTTCGCTTCTATTTCAACATATTTTGATTAAAAGAAAAATACTGAAAAAAATAAAATTGTTCATAAAAACAGGGTTGAAATCTTGAAATTCCTGCCCGTAGTTTGTTTGTAAGTCAAATATGAGTGGCATTGCGCTACTATGATAGCACGGCCGAGTAATCATAGCCAACTTATGTACAGTAGTCGAAAAAATTACAGCCGAACCAAATTTTGACAAGTTTTAAAATATTATTTTTGTTGTTATTTAATTTCGGTTAGTTTTTTATAGTTCGTTCTTTACCAACATCCGTATAAATACAAGTTTAAAGGCACGATTGGGTATTTGCTAAAATTTGGTGTAAATCGTATCCCAATTGTTTGAACACCCAAAATATTTTTCACTATCCCAATCACGAAAATTGATTTATTGAAATTTTTCAATAGAACATCGCTTTATTGTACCAATCTTTTGAATGCAAAAATAAAAATTGTCCCACTTTTTTTTACCAATAGCCCAATATAAAAATTTACAAATCTGTACAAATGTACCAATCGAGTGACACTGCCTTAAAAATTTATGCAGTTAAAAAAAATTCTACAAATTTTCGTTAAAATTTCGAGTTTTTTAATTAAATTCTGAGTGTGCAGTTTTGTAGCCCATTGAATTCAAGTAGAATTAAGTACACGTTTCAAATGGCTAAAAATGTCGATTGGTTTTTTAGAATTTTTAAAAGTTCGAAATTTGTACGAAAGTTTGTTGAATTTTTTTTTTAATATTGCACAAATGAGTAGTCCACTTGCAAACAGCGTTATATGATTTTATAATAGTGAGCCATAATTTAAAAAAAACGTCTACAACAACAAGTAACATCCAAATTGTATATCTCTCTTTATTATCTGAAAATTTGGATAAACAAGAGCCTAATAACATTAAAAAACAATATGACAATGTGGTAGTTTTTGCAACTTTTATATACAAAAATTGAATATAGCGAGTTATGAAACAGGAACTTTTACATAGCTATCTTTTTTTGCTTTTCGCGTTCGCTCTTCCATGAAGATTGGTCTGCTTCTTTTTTACGACGCCTTCCACTAGGCACCGAAACTACCACGTGTTCTTGCAGTTTTCTGAGTTCATCAGAAGATGGAGATTTTTGAAAGTGTATAAATAAGTATTATAGCGACTTTTGCAATAGTAGTTAATATTTGATGCTATTTTTTCAGAAAATATAAAGATTTTGCACTGTATTGTTAGTGGACATGAAACTACTTTAAATACTGGTACGTTACTCGCCAAAAACTAAAAATCTAAAAAAAATTACATATCGCCTTTGCAAGTGGACTGCTCAAATTTGGAAACATGGATTTCCGCGCTTTGTTAAAGAACGAACTATATTTTTATTTAAAGATATAACAAAAGTTCAATAACAACAAATATAATACGTTAAAACTTGGCAAAAAGTGGTTCGGTGATACGGCCGTGGCACCTATGGACATATTTTCATAAATAAAACACAAGACTCGGTCGCTTAAGAGTGAAAATACATAAAATATCATTAAAACAAATCGTCGCAGCGCCAACAAAAACAGTCATGTGATTTTTTAAATTTTTTTACTGCATATTTTATTAACACTATGTATTGCCCACATTTCTGAATTTGTCGTTTTCTTATATCTCATTTGGTTTAGAACTGATCAAAAACAGCTATGTGCTCGCAGTACTAGAAATACTCTGAAAAAGCGGGTATATGCTTACTTGCTTATAACTGTTTTTGATGGTAGATGAGTGTGCTTTGATTTCGATGTAAAAAATAATTATAAACCAACTAAATACATACATACATATGTATGCACATACCACTTACACTACATAGATTCTACTATTTACTTTGATCGCTTGCAATTGGAATTCAACAAATAACAAAGGTAAAAAGTATGGAGGTAGACACCGTCCACTCTACATTAGAACAATCCACCGATGTATTCACCAATGGATTACATAAGTCGTATGCGACAGGCGAGGCCATCACATCCTTATAATGTTAATTATTTAGAGTATGCATATGAAATTATTTATTGTATATACAGTGAAAGCTCCCATAAGCGGACACCGATGGTCGCCTACTTTTTGTCCGCCTATGAGAGATGTCCGCTTATGGAAATTTTGGAAAAATTAAAATTTAAATTCAAATTTAAAAAATGGAAATTGCGGGTTTCTAAATTAAAATAGTTTTTGTTCTTCAATAGACAGAAAAAGGGTGAACTAATTACAAATTCAAAATTTATAGCGTTTTCTTTCCTTCCAACAAATCCCATTGCCCATTGGCAACGAAAAGGCAACACTGTTTCTATAAAAGAAAATATCTTTGAATATGGACTATGTTCTTGTGTGGACACATACTTTGTACAAACCATGAAATTGCCAGAGATGCGAACTGTTTTTTCAGTCAGCGTATTAACTTGACCCAATGCACTTTTTCAAAGTTTGGAAAAAAAAACAAAATTGTCCGCTTGTTAGAGCTTCGCGTCCGCTTATGGGAGATTTTTTCTCATAAATGAACATTTTTGAGTGTCCGCGTGCGTTTATTGGAAAGTCCATGTATGGGAGAGCATTTTTTATGGAAAAAAACCAAAAATTGTTCGTTTCCAGGAATGTGTCCGCTTATAGGAGATGTCCGCTTATTAGAACGTCCGTCTATGAGAGCTTTCACTGCATGAGCTTTCATTGGATATCACCTATCCAAACTTTGAAAAACCAGTTCGTATCTCTGGCAATTTCATGGTTTGTACAAAGTATGTGTCCACTCATAACTTTGCATTAATTTTTTTTACAAAAATCCAATAAAAACGTTTCTGACCATTTTTCATTACATAACAGGAGCAACGAGCAGTTCAATAATCGAGTCCTCAACTTCTATACATTGCATCTAGGCCTAACGGCAGT